TCCGTTTTGAAGGTTTTTGTGGGTGAACGATCACCGTGTCTCCACAACTAAAAAATAAATTAAAAATTATTTTCAAAAAACCAGAAAGGAGCCAAAATTAAAAAATTTTCTCTGTAGGTCAGAGAAAGTCTCTTATTTTTAGATAAAAGGAAGAAAAAAAGGCGTGCCCGTACAAAATATCGTTTGTTAAAATGTCGCAAGTCTAAAAAGGGTTAAAATATCGTAGCGGCCAAAAAGGTGTTAAAAGATAGAAAGATAAAATATCGCAGCAATAAAATCTCGACAAGACTAGAAATGAGTTAAAATATCAACACGTCAAAAAAAAGATTAACTGATGATTTTTAATATGCAAAAGACATTTGTGTGCCATTTGAAGGAATTTAGTGCTTAACTCACTTCGCAATAGAAATTTTGGGGGTATATTTATAAAGTTGAATTTTTAGGGGAAGAGGGGCCATTTACCATGGGATGGGCTACTAACCCTTCGAGATGGAGAATGGTTGGAGGGATCAGTAATTGATGCATATCTGCAACACTTATGTTTTGAAACCCCGACCCATAATACTCCTCGAGAGCAGCATCATTGGCCCAATCATATAGTGCAGTATATACCTACATACTGCTTTCTACACTATACAACGAGTAATAAAAATGTCACCGGAAAATGGTATTGGCAATTTGGAGGTGTGGAGAAAGTCCTCGCTCCTTGCCATGTCAACAACGACCATTGGTGTATGGCCATTGCCGAAATTAAGGAGAGAAAAATTATATTAATGGACTCCCTAAACAACGGGCACACAACTGATAAGAAAAGAGAATTTATGGAAAATTTCTTGTAAAATTAATTCCTAGAATATAATAAGGGTAGAAGGAAAATTTTAGATAATTAAGAGAAAAGTGGAAAAAATTGAACATCTCCCCCCCCTCCTCTTCTTTCCTCAAAATACACTTTTAAAAACTTAAAAATTTATCCGAGTACATATAACTGTTTGAACAAAAAATAACAGTTGGACCAAGTTTACTATTTTGTGGAAAGTAGAGGAGGTTTTTTACCGAAAGATTAGTTTAAGAAAATGATAAGAAAAAATTGAGATTAGGAAAAATTAAAAATATAAATTATTATGTATAAAAATTAAGGGACATAATGCTGATAGCAGCTTTACAATGTAAAGTAGATATTGGCCCGCGGGACTCCTGGACAAGGCTCGAAAAATTTGATGTCCCAAGGCAAAATGGAGGAATTGATTGCGGCGTCTATTCCCTTCTCTACGCCAGATTTGGGATGGCCAATAAACCATTAAATTTTTCGCAGCAGGACATATCCTCTTATCGAAGATTATTCTGTCAAGAATTGACCGCGGCTATTGATTCTCAGAGGTAGAAAAAATTTTTAAAATGAAAAAAAAACTAAAAAATGTGAATGTTCCGCAATAAAAATTGCTCAAAGGAAAAAAGGAGATACCTCTCTCCACTCTCTTTTTAATCCTTTTTTTCCATTTTATTTCTCAAAGGAAAAAAATCTTTCCATTTTATTGCTCGAAGCAAAAAAGAGAGACTCCATTCCATTCCAAAAGAGAGAATCCATTCTCTCTCTTCACTCTCTTTATTTCTGTTTTCATTTTATCTTATCTATATATCAACTTTTCTCTAATTTCAAAATGTTCTCTTACTCAAACAAATTATTCAGAAGTGAATATAACATTAATAACATTAATGGACTCCCTAAACAATGGCCAGACAACCGAAGGGAAACGTCAATTTATGGAAAATTTCTTGTAAAATTTATTCTTCAAATATAATACGAGTAGAAGGAAAATTGAGATAATTAAGAGAGAAATGGAAAAAATTGAACACCCCCCCCCCTCCCCTTCTTTCCTCAAAATAATAAAAATGGTATTTTAAATATGGTAAAAATTCTACTTTACTCGTTTTAAGAAGAACGGGTAAGGGTAATCGTGAAGAATTTGGGATACACTTTTAAAAACTTTTAAAGACTTTACCCGGTTTGAACAAAAAATAACAGTTTTGAGGAAAGTAGAGGAGGTGAAGGAGGTTTTTAACAGAAGGATTATTTTAAGAGAAATGATAAGAAAAAATATTAAGATTAAGGAGAAAACAAAAATTAAAAAATTATTTATGGATAAAAATTAAGGGATATACTGCTTCTAGCAGCTTTACAATGTAAAGTCGATATTGGCCCGCGGGACTCCTGGACAAGGCTCGAAAAATTTGATGTCCCAAGCAGACGTGGGCGAAACGTTTCGTTTCGTTTCGTTGTTTCGTATGTTTCGTATGATTTTTACTGTTTCGTCTCGTTTCGTTACGAAACACTTTTAAATTTGTTTCGTTTCGTTTCGTTACGAAACACCTGTGATTTTTCAACGAAACGAAACAATTTTTTAAGCCTAAACTAAGGCCAAAATCTATAAAATTTACCATCTTTTATTGAAAATTTAAAAAATTTTCGCCTGCGGCGCTGAAAAAAAAAGAATTTCGGCTTCTTGGCTTTCCCAAATTGTCAAAATTTTCGCCTGCGGCGCTGAAAAAGGAAGATAGCAATTACTTATATACTACACTGGAACCGGAACTTCCGGCGAAGCACTAGCTTATATCGCCTTCCTCTCGAAATGGAGATATGGAGACAATTTGGGTAGGCAATGGAGCAAGATGGTGAATTTTTTGGCCTACGGCCTTTCAAAATTTTAAAATTTTTCGTCTGCGGCGCTTAAAATAAAATTTTACTTGAAAAATATTCAATTTTATTTAAAAAAAAGCGTCGCCAAAAATTTGGCTTCGAAAATGATTGACCCCCCCCCCTTCCCCGAAAATTTTCCTTGCTACGGGCCTGGCTTATGGGACACAATTGTTGTAAATAAACCAATAACTAAATCATTTATAAGTCATAGTCGACTAATAACGTATTTGAGGTCGAATAATTTCGAAATAAATGCAGTTTTGAAAATTTTTTGAATATTAAAATGTTTCGTTTTGTTTCGTTTCGTTTCGTAAGATTTTGGTTGTTTCGTTTCGTTTCGTTAACGAAACGATTTTTAAAAAATTTTGTTTCGTTTCGTTTCGTCAGAAAAAAATTTTGAGTTTCGCCCAGGTCTGGTCCCAAGGCAAAAAGGAGATGTCCCAAGGCAAAAAGGAGATGTCCCAAGGCAAAAAGACTTTTTTCGAGAAGGGGGGGCAACGGGAAAATTTTGAGAATTTTAAAAGGCCAAACAGCCAAATTTCTTCCGTTTTTAGCGCTCTTCCGTTTTTTTAAAATTTCGAAAACCATAGGCCAAAAAATCCAATACCCTCCCCAAATTTTTTCCTTTCCCCCCACCCCCTATTTAATAAAAACAAGTTTAATGAAAACATGTTTAATAAAAACAAGTTTAATAAAAACATGTTCATTTAAAACATTACAATTTTAATAAACTTGTTTTTAATAAACAACTAAAATTAAAACCTAAACATTTTAAACAAGTTTTTCTTATTTCAAACAAACAAATAATTATTTCTTGTTGTTTTTGTGGTATATGGCAACAGCTGTTTATTTCTCCTAGAAACTTTTAATCTTACTTTTTTTCTGAATTAATAAGATTGATCACAAACAAAATTATTTATATTTTACATCATTCACTTTAAAATTAGTAAAAAATATTTCTATTTTATTTTAGTAAATTATAATTCATTTTAGTTAAATTTTTTTATGTGCTACCTAATTATTTTTATTTTCAATCTCATAGCTGGCAAAATAAAAATAATTAAAAATACCCTACTATAATTATAAGGTATAAAGCCAAACATATGTTGCAACAACATTCCTTTTTTTTTGACCGGCAATAATAATAATTTGGATTTTGCCTTATTATTAACTATATTGACTAGAGATCATCTATTAAATATTAACGAAAAAAAGGAAGCCTTTTTCCCTCTGAAAAGTGGTTTTGCTTGTCAACTAAGCCAGAAACCTCCCCTCTCCCCCTACCTTTATGGGGGCTAAGTCCTGTGCCAAACAACAAAAATGAATATTTTTATGCAAGGCATTAAAAAAAAGAATAAAAGTCATTTTCAACAAATTTCCTTAAATTTTATTGCAAAATATTAAATTATATTTTTTATTCATAATTTCATAGACTAAAAATAGTAATTTTTGACCGTTGAACAAAAAAATGACATTTTATGTTTTATTACTTATAAACATGTTTTGTTGAGTTAATAATTTAATAAACTTGTTTTTGTTTATAAATAAATAAACTTGTTTAGACAAAACTTTAAATGTTTTGATAAAAACTTGTTTTTTAACAACTTGTTTTTGCAGAATAAATAAAACAAACTTGTTTAATAAACAAACTTGTTTTTAAATAAACTTGTTTTTATTTAAACTTGTTTTTAAAAACTTTTTAAATGAAACAAACTTGTTTTAAAAACATTTTTAAAAATAAACTTGTTTTTATCTAAACTTGTTTTGTTTCCCAAACATAATGTTTTATTTAATGTTTTAGCATTTTTCCAACTTGATGGCTATTCCAAACTTTAACAACAATGGGCAAAAACACTTGCCAACATTTGTTGACATGTTTTAATAAAAACAATGTTTTAATTTCCTTTCGCCGCCTGTTTGTTTCAATTTGTTTTGTTTCTCTATTAGCAGTTTGTCAACTATTTTTTCACAACAACACAACTTTTAATACTTCCCAGTCAACAATATTGAAAAATATTGAAATTAATAAAAATCAAAATTTTAGGCAATTTAAAATTATTTTTAAATATTAATTTTTTATTTTATTTTTAGTAATTTACCAAATTTTTTAATTATTGGTGTTAGAAAGGGAGGAACTCGAGCTTTATTGGACGCCCTTGCATTACACCCCAAAGTTAAAATTGCCCGGTAATTAAATTTCTAAAAATATTTTAGTAAATTTTTAATAAATTTGAAAAGACATGAGGTCCACTTTTTTGATAAAGAAAAAAATTTTCGACGAGGATTGGACTGGTATAGTAAACAAATGCCAAAGGCATGTCCAGATGACGTGAGAAAAATTAAAAAAAATTTTAAAATTAAAAAAAAATTTTAAGGTAATAATAGAGAAGACTCCCGCCTATTTTACAGCAAATCCACAAGTTCCACAACGAGTATTTCAATTTAACCCAAAAATTAAATTTATTCTCATAGTGCGTTCTACTGTTACTAGAACTGGTAAATTAAAAAATTTAATTTTATTTAAATTTAATTTTAATAATAGTTAGTGATTTTACACAAATTTTACAAACAAAAAAAGAAAGGAATAAACCTCCAATTAATTTTGAAAAAATGTCTTTTATTAAAAATTGTAATGGTTCGCTACAGTTAAATGAACGGTGAACTAATTTTTAATTAAAAACTTGAATAAACATGTTTTAAATAAACATGTTTAGTGAACATGTTTTGAACATTTTTAAAATAAACTTGTTTAGAAAAACACGTTGCCTTAAAAACATGTTTTATTACATATTTAATAAACATGTTTTAAAACTTGTTTTAGTAAGCATGTTTTAATGAACTTGTAAAATAAACTTGCTCAGAAACAAGTTTATTTAATAAACATGTTTTATTATACCTATATTTAATAAACTTGTTTTAATTAACTTGTAAAACAAACTTATTCACAAACAAGTTTATTTAATAAACATGTTTTATTACAAACTTGTTTTAAATAAACTTTAATTAAAACATTATTTTTTTAAAAACAGGTTTAAACCTATTCGTAATTCACTTTATGCCGAACATTTAAACAGATGGCTAAACTATTTTCCATTAAAACATTTTTTAATTCTAGATGGAGATAAATTTATTGAAGACCCTTTAAGTCAGGCATGCTAATTTTCATGGAATTAAAAAAAAAATTTTTTTAATTTTTTTAGTTAAAAATAGCCGAACATTTTCTCGGTCTGGAGCCCTCCATCAATTCAACTCAATTAATTTTTAATAAACAAAAAAATTTTTATTGTTTCCGTCAAAATTTAAATTCAACAATTCACTGTCTAGGCAAAAGCAAGGGCAGAAAACACATCAAAATTTCATCAAAATTTAGACGCTCATTAATAGAACATTTTAGGCCTTATAATCAAAAATTCTTTTCTCTTATTAATAGAAAATTCCAAACATGGGAATAAATTTGTTGTTTTTTGTATAAAATATGTTTGAATTAAAAAATGTTTTTAAAGCTTATACAAATTAAGTAATATTTTTACAAATTTTATACACCATCCGAAAATTCATAAACTTTTGCCACCCCCACCTTTCCCACAACAAACTTCACCAACAACAACCTCCACAACAGAAATATGTTGCTCCAACACAAATGCCAATGTCAATAAACCTTATCTTATTGTTAGAAATATTTTTATAGGTATCAGGGATGTCATCGAGTCTAATTTTTAAAATTTTCTTCGGAGGGGTTTTGGGCTTAAGAAAGTTCTGGGACAACAATTGGAGAAAGTCAGTCGAGTTTTGGAAGAATTTCTAGGAATTGAGTTTTGAGTCGGGAAAAATAGCCCCGGATAAACCGTGACTTCCTAGGTATAGTCTCTTATCTTTAAATATCCTAAATTTTGAATGTCAATATCTTAAAAAAATTTTTTTTAAAAAAACAGACATTTTACCAATAATTTAAAAAAATAATTTTTTAATAATCACACATAAATGGTCTTTTTGGGACAAAATAATTTAAAAAATAAGCTCTCACAATAACGACTATAAATAATTTAATAAAAATCTTTATGGGGCACATCGTCCAATAAATCGAGGATATAAACAAACATCCCTTATATTTTCTTGATTAGCTAACCAACAAACAAACCGTTCCAATTCAAGTCCAAAACCTCCATGCGGACATCCTCCATACTTCCTCTGGTCTACATACCAATAATAATGTTTAGGGTCCACATTGGTTATTTTAAAAGCTTCCAAAATTTCCTTTTCCTTCCAAATCCTCATTGAACCACCAACAACTTTTCCAATTCCGGGCATTAAAAAATTTACAGATTCTGTCAAATTCTTCTTCTTTCCTTCTTCATCTTCACAACGAGAAGTGTTCATGTCTTCATCTTCACAACGAGAAGCTTTGGTGCCAGCTGGGAAACGATTCAACAAGATTGGCTTTAAAAAAAAATTTTTTTTTTAAATTAAAAAAAAATTAGAAAAAAAACCTGTCCAATTGTATCAAGCATTTGCCGTCCAGAACCCTGTGGAATGAATTCTCCAAATTTAAAAGGCTTTCCTTCTTTATTTTTCACATTATTTTTGCGCAGCCATTCAATTGCATCAGCATAAGTCATTCGAAGAAAAGGACGTTTTAATGAAGGAAATTTTTTCTGAAAAAATAGGAAAAATTAATTTAAGGATATTTTTGGTAATTATTTAGTTAAAATTTTGGGAAGTCTGTAAAAATTTTAGGAAGTCCCGCTTCGATATTTTTTAGGTTGTCAGTAGGCTAGGTTTGTAAGTAGGCAATCGAGTTTGCCGAGTCCAATATCAATCCACATTTTATTTATTCTGAATCACGGGCTAAATTCGACCAGGTCGAATCTCTGGGCTCTCAAAGGAGACTCACAAACCTCAAAAAATAACGGAATATTTCTTCCCCTTTTTTCAACATGAAGTCGGTAAAATCGCATTCCCGGGATCCGTAACGGGATTTTCTTTCAAAATTTTGTATGGACGGGATCCCGCGGGATTAATCCAGTAATCCCGTGCTTCGATAAAAACCTGGGATTCCGGGACGAGATCCGTAAAATCCTGTACGGGGTCCTGTCCCGTGCCGGCTATACTACTTAAATAACTTAAAAGAACCTTTGACGTTTTCCAGCGTTGTAATATTAATTTAGAAATTTCAGGATCACTGAAAACCCTCTCAACTACATCAGAAACAAGATCCTCAATTTTATTCATCAATTCTAAAAAATAAAAATTCAAAAAATTTTCTAAAAATTCAAAAAAACCTTCAAAAGTAATAAACGGACATTCAGCCTCAACATGAGAGTTTTCAGCCAAATGACGCCTTGTTTGAGATTTTTCCGCTGAATAAGACTGCGCTATACAATAACAATCTCCCAGAGAAGAAATGCATGTTTCCAAATAAAGCTGCGCTGATTGAGTTAAATAAGCTGGTTCACCAAAAAAGTCAATGGAAAAAAATGTAGAGCTTCCTTCAACCTTAAATTTAGCAGTTAAACTCAAAAAAGTTGATTCTAAATAAACCTGAGTTTGAACAAGTGTTGGAGGGCATACTTCGACATATTTGCGAGAATGAAAATGTTCCCTTATTGCACGCGTTACGGCCGCTCGGATTCGAAGAATTTCAGAACAATTTTCTCCTCTAATACACAAATGACGATTGTCCAGATTAACATCAGGATTTGCCTCAACATTTAACACATTGTCAATCCCAACGGGCGGTGCTCCATGAATTAAAGTCCAAAAATCGGCGACGAGTTCTACACCACCTGGAGCCGTCTTTTTTTTAGGAAGTTTGTTTATCTAATTTTTAATGAAATAAATAAATTAAAGAAAAAAGAAGCAAACCGTTCCGTATATGCAAACAGAGCTTTCCGTAGTCAATGTTAAAGCTTCAGAAGTTTGACAAAGTACTCCACTCAAAACAACTTGCAAAAAGCTAGTTCCGTCTCGTAGAACAACAGATATCACATTCTTTCCTATAAAAAAGGAAAAATTTTGAAAGAGGTTTTTAGTTTCAAATTGAGGTTTCAGGGGAAGATTATAACCAAGGGCCATCCAACCCCAAAACATTAAAGGAAAAATATAGAGATCAGCCCGGATCCAGGCTCTGATTTTTCCCAGATTTTGAGTCAAGATCAAGGCATCTTTCAGGGTTCCTCGATTTTTCCTTGACTCAAGGTAAAAAATCTGGTCAAAGTCCTCAGCCAAATCACGGCGTTTTACGATCACTAAGTTTGTTTTAAAATTAAAATGTAATCAAAGAGCAGGATTCGAACCCGGACCCTCCAACATCACCAAAATTAAAGAAAACCCAAAATCCTTTTAAAACAAACTTTGTTGTCGACAGCGATGTACAAAACCAAAAATTTGAACTCTTTGTCCACACATTGTAGAACAATCACGTATCTTCACTTTAATTGGAGCAGGAAGCGAATCTTCTTCACAAATATTTAAAGACAAATTTTGTTGTTGTTCTTGTGGCCCAATTTTGTACTGGCGTAGAAGATTGCATTCACTGACATCGCTAGAAGTAGGCAATGAGTACCAGAAAAGATAGCCTTCCATACTCGCAACAATTAAGTAATCAATTCCCTAAAATTTATTTTTTGATAAAATTATGTAAAATTAAAAAAAACCTGAATTTTAGGCATAGCCACAGCTGTTTTATGTCCATATATAGGCAATTTAGCTATCGCAAAAATTTTTCCCCTCTCCAATTGATGATCACGTCTAGCCAAGGAAAACACATGAACAGTTTCAGTGTTTGATGATTGACACAAAAATCGAGAATCTTGGGAGAAGGCAAGAGAGCTTATTTGAACACAGCGACTGACTCCACAGACAAATTCAAATAGACGTTCTCCACCAGGAATTGAGAAAACACGAATCACAGTTCCCTTAAATTGAGAATATTTTAAAGAATCTATAAATAAATTTTGATAGTAAAGGGAATTCAGGGAAACCCAAAATATCCCACTCATCAAAAAAGTGAAGGGGAGGGGGCACTTAAAAAAATGGATTGCCTTTTTTTGATCAACGTAAACATAAGATTTTTAGGGCCATTAAGGTATCAAAAAAATAGTGTTCAATAAATCCTTAAAAATAATCAAAATTCAAAACCTTCTCCGATTCAGTGGCAAGTTTGGTTCCATCATTGTTAAATTTAACAGCAGCCAAAACACTATCATGAGCACGTATTTGACAAACAGTAATTAAATTCTTGGCATCAAAAATGTGTCTTAAAATGAGAAAATTAAATTTAGATTACAAAAAAGGGATGTCACGGGTTACCCGACAGTTTCGATACCCGGACTATTTTGACCCGAAACCCAAAGAAAATGCTGACACTGAATACTCGAACTGCAACCGACTCGGCTTCTTTTCTCAACACGTAAAATCCCTGTTACAAGGGTTTAGCCAGGAGGACGATTTCAGGGGGCGCGATTAGCGTATAGTCAAACCTACCAAAAACCAAAACTTTGAACGGCCGTAACTCGGCCCAAAGTGATTTTGCAAGAAAACCGATACCACTTTACAATATTAAATCGGGGGTCCCCTATCGAATAGTATCAAAAATATATCAAATTCGCATTTACAGCAAAAAAAGGCTCCTTATAAATTAAAAATCCTTACACATGTCCAGTGCTTGAAGAAGCAGGAAAGGCTAAGAAGCAATTGTTGTCATCAATTGAAAGATCCACAATTCCTTGGGGATTTGATGGAATATCGAGGGATTGACGGAGTTGGAAATTCTATATTTGAAAAAATTTTCCAGAATTTAAAAATAAATAAACCTTCATGTTGACAATATTGTGAATGTGAATAGAATCCTTTAAACAGACCACAACCATCTTAAATTTAAATTATTTATTTGAACGTTGAAATATTTGTGAACCTCAGAATTGATCCGGACCGCCAAAATAGGATCTGGGAATTCTTTTGAAAAGCGTTTGAGCACCTGTAATAAATTAAATTTAACAAAGTTAAAGAACATAACCCATTATTACCAATTACTTATTGTCTTTCCATACTAATGGGGATTCGAAATTCTCGGTACTTGTGGGTTATTCCAACCTAGTTTTTGCGGACATGATTGTACAAACTCATAAAGGTTAAATATCATTTACTTGACCATTTTATATTTGAGTTTACCTTTCAGATTTAACCTGTTTTGATTGACATAAAAACACGTTTAGGATAACCCACAAGAACCAAATTCTCTAAAATCAGGATAACTAAAGTCAGAAACTCAGGACGTTAATATAGACGTGTGAGGTGTAATTCGACTCAGCTTGAAGAGTTGAATCAACCTAAGGGTGGGAGAAGTTGATCCAATGACTAGGGACCAAAATATGCTCATTACCGGACAAACTCACCCACCCCTCATTCGACCCAGCTAGTCAAACTGAGTCAAAAGAAACCTCACACGTACATATCCTTCCACTTATTAAAAACCTTCTAGAAGTGAAAATGTTCAAAATAAACCGTTAATTTTTTTGGGGTCCTTTTTGCAATGAGAACAATTTGTTTTTTCTCAACAAGTCTTTGCGCCATGAGAATGTGTTTGGGTGCTAGAAAAAAAATATTTTTTTAGAGAAATTTAATTAAAAATAAACTTGAAAATTCCTCCATTATTTCAAGTTTATCAATTGAGCTAAGAGAGTAGAAACAATAGCCATCCTCATGTCCTACCGCCAAAGAAGTACAATCCTGATTGAAGGATGTTGAATAAATTTTCTTTCCAGGTTCAATGTCCATTTTGTTTACTTAAATTAATTAAAAATTAGATGTTCTAGAAAAAACGATGGGACTTAAGATCTCTAGAAAAGCTTGGCGCAATATATAAATAAAAACATATCCCAAAATGGTACTACTCCGTTGTCCTTACGTGTTTTTGCGGACTTTTTTTGCAGACATTTTTTATTCCTCAATTTCAATCCATTCCTTGTGACACGCTTAAATGATGGACATTAATAATGAATTTATCGGTGGAACTGATCATTATGCGCATATTTGCAGAAGAAAATGTCCGCAAAAACACGTAGGGATAACGGAGTAGTACCCAGGAAATTTTTTCGAAAAGCAGAGGCTAGGGTTAAATTTGCGCTAAATCTGTCTTTACCTTTAGTCTTTCCTCCAAATTTGGATTTAATAGCAGCTTCCTTAGCCTCATCAAACACTTTATTGTCAATATAAGAGTTGCACGGATAACACCAAACAGAAAAGTCAGCAAAGCTTAAAGCCAGTGGATGTTTTGTCTCTTCGGTGTGAGTCAAAGCGTGTCCCTCAACATAACGAGAGCAATAGACCTTTTAAAATAATGAATTTAGTAAATGAAGAAAAAATTTTGGTCAAATCAACAAAAAAAGCAAAATTAATTTTTGCGGATAAAATTTGCGGACAAAAATATTTTTGCAGAAAATTAGTCTCAAAGTGAGAGAGCCTCTCTCAAGTGCCCAAGCTAACTTTAAAAAAAATAAAAAATTTAAAAACTAACCTCAAAACATTTAAGACACACCCAATTCTCGCCAGTATTTGAACATGTGTTGCAAGCAGCTTTAGTGTTGAGTCCATCAGAAGGCAATTTGCTATCCTAGAAAATTTAAATCAATGGTAAAAATCATTATTTTGAAGAATCCCAAGTTGTTCTTATAGTCGGGCCTGCTATAAGCTACCCACGAATCAAATACTTCACTCAGTTTAAGACACATTTAAATAATGCCAGTCGTGGAAGGGAGCTGTTTAAGCAATACAAACAAACCAAAGAACGTCCCGAAACAAATTTTCAGCCGCTATTGGGTATCTTAAAGAGGGTGACTTATTCAAAGTAATTGAATGTCCTTGAAAATCCCCAACAAAATTTAAAAAAAAAACCGCAATTTGTTCCAAATGTGGACACGTCTTAAGTGGCGTCACCGCAAAGAATTCTTGTGGCTTCTCTCCTTGTTCACTGTCAGAGGAAATCTCGATCAATTGTTCAGTTGTCATTTTTTAAGTTTAGTTGGAGATTGAAAATAAAATTTATTTGGAGATTGAAAATATATTTGAAGATTGAAAATAAAGAACTGAAAAAAATGTAACAGAGTTAAAGATTTTAAAGAATTAACAAAAAAATTGGTGACAATTTATCTCAAAAATTTTTTATGGAAGACCCATTGACATATCTAACAATAAGCTGTTGAAGATCCCAACTATAGCCCTACAAAAACAAAAGTTAAGAAAAGCTAAGGAACAAAAAGTAAATTCAACAGAATCATTACTTGAAAAATAGTTTAGGCAACCGTAAAGATTAATCTGTTTCTTATGTTCACCTTTTTCATCGTTTATCCCTCTGGAATCTCATAGAATTTTGACCCGACCGGAATTGTTTGGGGAGAATGGATAGCAAAAAAGAAGGGAAAATCGGCAAAAAATCTTTACGGTTTCCTAGGAAATTTTAAAAAAATATTAAAATTTGGAAAAAAACAAAAACAGGGATCCGCCCAAGTAGGCGCGCGGCCATAACGGCGCAAAGCCATAACTTGCTAAAAATTTTTTTGGCCCATATCAATTTTTGTACCAATTTCTTTAGCTCGATGTGAGGAATCGTTTAATACTAGATTTGATAAAACACGGAAAACTTGCAGCAAGTTATGGGTTTGCGCCGTTATGGCCGCGCGCCTACTTGGGATGTACTCACAAAAAACGGAACAGGATCATTGTGTACCGCCGTTTGTGTACCTGGCCGTTTGTGTACCGGCCGTTTGTGTACCGCCGGTTGTGTACCCACCCAAAGGGGGACGTTTGTGTACCCGCATTATTTTTTTAGTTTTTTATTGTTTTTTATGAATGTTCGAGATACCTAAAAAAATAATAATTTTTTTGGATCCATCATAAAATTTTTTCCAAAAGTTATTAAAAACATTCCAAAACTAGATATTATATACATCTTTTAATGCTTTATCGAATGAGCTACAACAATCCTTTGAACTACTCGAAACCACAAGACCCGCTCCTGTTGAATGTTCGAGATACCTAAAAAAATAATAATTTTTTTGGATCCATCATAAAATTTTTTTCAAAAGTTATTCAAAACATTCCAAAACTAGGTATTATATACATCTTTTAATGCTTTATCGAATGAGCTACAACAATCCATTGAACTACTCGAAACCACAAGACCCGCTCCTGTTGAATGTTCGAGATACCTAAAAAAATAATAATTTTTTTGGATCCATCATAAAATTTTTTTCAAAAGTTATTAAAAACATTCCAAAACTAGGTATTATATACATCTTTTAATGCTTTATCGAATGAGCTACAACAATCCATTGAACTACTCGAAACCACAAGACCCGCTCCTGTTGAATGTTCGAGATACCTAAAAAAATAATAATTTTTTTGGATCCATCATAAAATTTTTTCCAAAAGTTATTAAAAACATTCCAAAACTAGGTATTATATACATCTTTTAATGCTTTATCGAATGAGCTACAATAATCCATTGAACTACTCGAAACCACAAGACCCACTCCTGTTGAATGTTCGAGATACCTAAAAAAATAATAATTTTTTTGGATCCATCATAAAATTTTTTTCAAAAGTTATTCAAAACATTCCAAAACTAGGTATTATATACATCTTTTAATGCTTTATCGAATGAGCTACAACAATCCATTGAACTACTCGAAACCACAAGACCCACTCCTGTTGAATGTTCGAGATACCTAAAAAAATAATAATTTTTTTGGATCCATCATAAAATTTTTTCCAAAAGTTATTAAAAACATTCCAAAACTAGGTATTATATACATCTTTTAATGCTTTATCGAATGAGCTACAACAATCCATTGAACTACTCGAAACCACAAGACCCACTCCTGTTGAATGTTCGAGATACCTAAAAAAATAATAATTTTTTTGGATCCATCATAAAATTTCTTTCAAAAGTTATTCAAAACATTCCAAAACTAGGTATTATATACATCTTTTAATGCTTTATCGAATGAGCTACAACAATCCATTGAACTACTCGAAACCACAAGACCCACTCCTGTTGAATGTTCGAGATACCTAAAAAAATAATAATTTTTTTGGATCCATCATAAAATTTTTTCCAAAAGTTATTAAAAACATTCCAAAACTAGATATTATATACATCTTTTAATGCTTTATCGAATGAGCTACAACAATCCTTTGAACTACTCGAAACCACAAGACCCGCTCCTGTTGAATGTTCGAGATACCTAAAAAAATAATAATTTTTTTGGATCCATCATAAAATTTTTTCCAAAAGTTATTAAAAACATTCCAAAACTAGGTATTATATACATCTTTTAATGCTTTATCGAATGAGCTACAACAATCCATTGAACTACTCGAAACCACAAGACCCACTCCTGTTGAATGTTCGAGATACCTAAAAAAATAATAATTTTTTTGGATCCATCATAAAATTTTTTTCAAAAGTTATTAAAAACATTCCAAAACTAGGTATTATATACATCTTTTAATGCTTTATCGAATGAGCTACAACAATCCATTGAACTACTCGAAACCACAAGACCCGCTCCTGTTGAATGTTCGAGATACCTAAAAAAATAATAATTTTTTTGGATCCATCATAAAATTTTTTCCAAAAGTTATTAAAAACATTCCAAAACTAGGTATTATATACATCTTTTAATGCTTTATCGAATGAGCTACAACAATCCATTGAACTACTCGAAACCACAAGACCCGCTCCTGTTGAATGTTCGAGATACCTAAAAAAATAATAATTTTTTTGGATCCATCATAAAATTTTTTTCAAAAGTTATTAAAAACATTCCAAAACTAGGTATTATATACATCTTTTAATGCTTTATCGAAT